AACTGCTGATCTGTAGTTTAGCAAAGTGAAGTGCATCTAGTTCATACGCCCCTTACAACAGTATCAAACCCTCCTCAAGGAGTTGGATGGCATTTAGCATAGGCTGCAATGCCATTAAAACACACAAAATATTTTTAAAGACTACATGTTAATTTACAGTTTATATTCACTTGCATTTCCATACGGCGTGCCTCTGTGCTAGTGGGGATCTCTGAGCTGTGACAGTCTGGGAGAAATCTGCAGGCTGGATGTGACTCTGCTGTGGATTCTGTGTGACAAGCCAGTGCTAAGGAACTGCAGGGTGATCTTGGACCAAAGTGATGAAAGATTACTGGTTACTACCCGAAATTACTGAGAGTTGCAACATTTTTTAGTAGCCTTAGGGTAGCTGGAGGTGGCCATGTTCCATGTGTGCTGAAAGAGAATCATTTCAGAATACTTTCAAATTCGTAATTATTTCAAATACAAATATTTTTATTATCACAGTCAACCAGAAAGAAACAAAAATAGCTACGGCAAAATTTTACTCACAGTGGAACAGTAATCAGTGGTGTGATTTACCAGCTGACATCTTCCATCCCTTGTGCCATCTTTGATGTTGAAATAGTTGTTTTATAATTAATACTGAGGTGGAAATAATTAAGCCAAAGCGTTATTTTCTATTGGCAGGATTCTTTACAAGTGTTATTTTCATCATTTTGTATGTTCGGTCTTCCAAGTTGAAGCTTTTTTTTAAAGTTGTCATTTTTATTTCATTTTTGATACTTCTTTCCAATGAATGCTGGCTTTGCTGTTCTGCCGAGAGCCCCTCTAGAAGAATTACTTTTAAGTGGCACTAAAATGATGTGAGGAGGGAGTTGTAAGTTGCTCGTGTATGTTTGTGTCAGTCGATTTGCCAAAGCCTAAGGGAGACCTCCACACACTGTGTAAAGCAAATTCAGATTTGGTGAACACCCTTCCTCCCCCTGGAATTTCTGTCTGTGAAAGATCAGACTTGAAATTTTGTGAGTCTTAAACGTGTATGGATTCAAATAATTCAAATCTAGGAATACTTTATTTCAACTCTTAAAGTTACAAATTGCAGTGCATTGGCCATGCTAAAGTAACAAAGATGAAACAATTTTCTCAGAATATTTTGGTGAAGAAGGTAACACTTTCATTAAGTATTTTAGACTAATAAAATGATTTCATAATTTTTAAACTCTTTTCTCCCTCTCTGGCCTAATTTAATATAGGGCTAGGGGGATCTCCTGTGAGTGGCTAATACCCCTCTTATAAGTAGTGCTTTCTTCATGTCGTCATTTTCATAACTAAGTTTCATTAATGAAAATGCTATAAATAATCGAAGTTAAATATGTCAAGACTAAGCACAGGGAAGCTGTGGCCAAGTAAACAAAGGGACTCTGAAGCTTTGGATTTATATGCGCCTGAACTGCTGCATACAGAATTCTTGTCTAAGTTTGGCTTTTAAAGCTCTTTTGAACTTTCAGACAGGAAACACTGTAGAAAGTTGAGTTAAAATGGGATCTACATTTAAAAAAAAAAAAAAGTCTCTAGTCTAAAAGTCAGACTACCAATAAGCAGCATTCTCAGTGGTGTAAGCTGTAGAAAATGTAGAATGTAGAAAACATTGTATAAAACACCTGGAAAAATCTGTCCCCAAAGCTTGTGTGGTGGATTGACCCTGGCTGCATGCCAGGTGCCCACCAAAGCCGCTCTATCACTCCCCTTCTCAACTGGACACACGAAAATATAACAAAAAGCTTGTGGGTCGAGATAAGGGCAGGGAGATCACTCAGCAATTACCATCATGGGCAAAACAGACTCGACTTGGGGAAAATCCATTTAATTTATTACCAATCAAATCACAATAGGAAAATGAGAAATAAAAACTAAATCTTAAAACATCTTCCCCCCATTCTTCCCTTCTTCCTGGGCTCAGCTTCACTCCTCATTTTTTTACCTCCTTCCCTGAACAGCTCAGGGGCATGGGGAATGGGGGTTGTGGTCAGTTCATCACACGTTGTCTCTGCTGCTCCTTCCTCCTCACACTCTTCCCCTGCTCCAGCGTGGGGTCCCTCCCACGGCAGACAGTCCTCCACAAACTTCTCCAACATGGGCCTTTCCCATGAGCTGCAGTTCTGCACGAACTGCTCCAGCGTGGGTCCCTTCCACGGGGTGCAGTCCTTCAGGAGCAGACTGCTCCAGCGTGGGTCCCCCACGGGGTCACAAGTCCTGCCAGCAAACCTGCTCCAGCATGGGCTCCTCTCTCCATGGGTCCATGGGTCCTGCCAGGAGCCTGCTCCAGCGCAGGCTTCCCATGGGGTCACAGCCTCCTTCGGGCACATCCACCTACTCTGACATGGGGTCTCCTCCCCGGGCTGCAGGTGGATATCTGCTCCACCATGGACCTCCATGGGCTGCAGGGGCACAGCTGCCTCACCATGGGCTGCACCAGGGGCTGCAGGGGAATCTCTGCTCCGGTGCCTGGAGCACCTCCTGCCCCTCCTTCTTCACTGATCCTGGTGTCTGCAGAGTCGTTCCTCTCACATATTCTCACTCACTCCAGCTGCATTTTTTTGTGTTCCTTTGGATTTTTTTTCCCTTCTTAAAAGTGTTACCCCAGAGGTGCTACCACTGTTGCTGATGGGCTCGGCCTTGGCCAGCGGCGGGTCCATCTTGGAGCCATCTGGCATTGGCTCTGTTGGACATAGGGGAAGCTTCTGGCAGCTTCTCACAGAAGCCACCCCTGTAGACCCCAATGCTACCAAAACCTTGCCACGCAAACCCAAGTACAGCTTGCTATCTTTTTTTCTACAGTGGTGCAGAACATTTCAGAAGATGATGTTGCTTGTTCAAGTATACTGTCATGTTAAATGCAAGAAGTTACCCTGGTGTTTCTTTTTGATTTAATGAGTTTTAGGTTAAGTCTTTGATTATAAGACAATATGCGTTGTTACTTGGCAGATTTAGATTACGAGTCAAATAAATAAGACGTTACCCTGAATTGTCTCATTCATCAATATGCAGTGTAAACTGCATTTGTATTTTCTGTATTGGCATGTTCGTACCTTCTGGTACAGCCACAACTTCCAGTGGCTGCTGTCCTTTATATATGCAGGGAGTTTCTTCTGAGGGTGCCCCTCAATTTGGTTTTAAATGGCTAATTTCAGACATTAATTTAGATACTCTTGTTTGTAAACTTCCTGCTCATATGGACTTCTGAATTTGTGATCTGATGTGATTTTCTAAGTCATAATAAATTAGTCATAATATAAAAATGCTTAATTCAAGAAATGAAATTGCATTTGTAACACGTTCCTTAGATATTACTGTCAGCTCTCTGAGGAAAAGGTAGTTTGGGTAGATGCTGTTGATAACTCTTAACATGCTGAATGGATACTAGGTATGCAGAAAATCAAACCCGGAAATGAATGGTCTTGTAGCAAGTAAGAGGACTAGATTAACTTAAACATAATGAAGTTATTCTATAGTGTGTAACTGAGATGAGCATTGCATCAGTTTTACCTTGCTTTTTGTGAGGTTCATGCTGGTGATGTGGTTAGACTATTTATTTGTTTACATATTGAAGAGACTCAGAGGTGAATACAATGAGAAACCTTAAAATTTGCAGGTGTAGGTCTGTAGCTCTTTATTTATTGTCATAGATGTCTGGTGATGGATATGTGAATATATAGTCTCGTTCTGCATATTTTCAGCTGCGTTTTAAGAAGCTGATGTTTTCTTAATGTAGTAATAGATTGGTTTTCTTTATTAGAGAATACAGTATTCTTTGATCTTAGTCATGTGGTGTTTGTAGTACTTAATGAGGGTAGGAAGGGGGGAAGATTTTTGTTTTATAGTATGGTAATTGGAAAAGAAACAATCTATGAAGATCTTCAGCGCTGTTTTTTGCCATATACAAGGTGGAGAATTGCTGGTGTGTTGTGTCTTGCATTGCTGAGGCAGATATTGACACTTGGCATTTAATCATGACAAAATACAAAACCTTTTAAACTTTCATTAATGTGTTCTGTTAATCAAAGTTGTTTCTTGTTTTGTTTATTTGTTTATGGTTAAGATTCTGTTTCATTGAGGTGGGTGGTGCTGTGGTTTCCTGTATGTCTTGTTGACACAAATCACTTTTAAGATCGTTTGATACCTACGCACATTATGAGTTTACTTTGTTAGATTGGGACTATATAGTACCCTTTGAGAGTCTTTTTCCTTCATTGTCCATAAGGAAATAACTTTTTGTTTTCCTGAATGCTTTGTCAGGCTCTGGATTCTTGTTTTCTCTCTAATCAAAGTACTGAGCGTCCTCAGCCTCTGCGCCTGCTCTGTGCATGCCACATCAAGCACAGCAGAGCTGTCTGAGACGCGAAGCAACGCAGTTGCCCGCAGGAATATGATACTTGCTAAAGTCTCTAGGAAAGCCTTTTATCTTTGGCAAGTAAGTATTTTACATGAAATTACACATGATGGTAAAGCCACAGATTTAAAGTGTAATAACCCCCTCAAGAAATGTTTTCCTCATTTAAGGTGTATTTTTAGTCACTTCTGCCTGGTTTTAAAACAAAAAGTATTTTTAAAGTTTTCCCTTTTTTAAAGGCACTGTGATGTCAGTGTATGGAAACAAATGTTTGCTAGTTTTTGGATTTTACTTGTTCATTAATGATGCTTGCTATTGAAGTCTAGATTATCAGCAAAAGGAGAAGCTGCTGCTTTTTGGTGCAATAAATTGTAGTATAGTATGCTTCTGAATGTGGGGCGAGTGATGAAGCTGTTGAATTAAAAATATGAATAGGTTTAAATATATTTAAGAATCTACTTACACAATTTCTGTACATTTGTGTGATTTTTGTTCTTTTTTTCAGGTGATCTATGCCATCCCCTTACAGAGCACACGGAAATAAATTGGCACTTCAGACTCTCTCGAGCAGCTGAAAGGAGAAACGTTACCCCGAGAATGAAGCAATAAAACATCTCTGCAGAACCGTATGATTGAAAACGCGGTCCAGCCCTCCTCTGCTGCCGGACATGCTTTTGTCCTCCTGCCCCGCTCACCCGATGTTGCAGTAATACAGATGGATCGTAGTAGAGAGGCAGAAATGGAGTTAAGGAGATCCTCAAGCCCAGGCAAGCTAAGCAAGAATGACATGGATGCTGACAAGACCATGTGCCACAGCTGCTGCATCTGCGGTAAAAGTTTCCCTTTTCAGAGCTCCTTGTCGCAGCACATGAGGAAGCACACGGGCGAGAAGCCCTACAAATGCCCTTACTGTGATCACAGAGCTTCCCAAAAGGGCAACCTGAAGATCCACATCCGTAGTCACAGAACAGGCACTTTAAGTCAGGGGCACGAGGCGGAGATGGGAGAGGTGCAGCTGGGGGAGATGGGCGTTTCGGAGGGCCTCGGCGGGTGCACCAGCCCCACTAAAAGTACGTCCGCCTGCAACAAGATCTTGAACGGTACCGCTCAGGTAGATAGCAGCAAGATCTTGTTGAGAAGCAGCAAGAAGGAGGTCATGGAGTTAGCGCCAGCTGAGGAGGATGGCAAGCTGACCTCTTACCAGTGCACCTTCTGCAAAAACAAATTTGAAAGGAAGAAGGACCTGGAGCAGCACCTGCACCAGGTCCACAAACCGTTCAAGTGCAGGTTGTGTAGCTACATGACTCTGAGGGAGGAGACGCTGTTAAACCACATAGAGAAGGACCATATAACAGCTCAGGTCCCAAATGGGGAGGCCTATACCGAGAACTGCAAGAGCGAGCTGAGCACGGGCGAGTTTCCATGTGAAGTCTGCGGCCAGGCCTTTAGTCAAACCTGGTTCCTGAAAGCTCACATGAAAAAGCACAGGGGGTCATTTGATCACGGGTGCCACATTTGTGGCAGGAGATTCAAAGAGCCCTGGTTTCTCAAAAACCACATGAAGTCGCATGGCCCCAAGACCGGGAGCAAAAACAAACCAAAAAATGATTTGGAGCTCATAGCCACTATCAATGATGTGATACAGGAGGAGACGATTGTGACGGGCCTGTCTCTGTACGAAGTTTGCACCAAGTGTGGAAATCTGTTTACAAATATGGAAAGCCTGAAAGCGCATAATGCTGTTCACTACCGGGCGCAGCGGGGCAGCGCCGGGGATAAAGCTGAGGGCTTAATTGATGGAAGCCTAAGCTCCTCAGTAACGAAGCAGTTTTTCTTGCAGTGTCTCAATCTAAGGCCATCTGTAGGGCTGGATAGAGTTACAAGAGGACAGCCTGGGAAAAGAGTAGCCGAGCTGGATCCGGTCAGTAGCTACCAAGCTTGGCAGCTGGCCACCAAAGGAAAAGTAGTAGAGCCCTCAGAGTATGTGAAGTATGTGGGATGGGACGAGGCCCTAGCAGATGCGGACGTGACTTACGACAAGGATAAGAGAGAGTATATCCTCGTCAACCAGGAGAAGCGCAAGCGAGACCAGGACTCGCCCAGCTCTTCTAGCAACCCCAAGAAGAAGAGCTGCACCAGTGGGCGCCTGGAGAAAACCGGCGGTGCCCCACCAGGGGAGAGCTGCCCGATCGCCCAGGGGGACCTGGACTACCGCCCTGCCTCGCGGCAGGGCCGACGGGCTGCCCAGAACAAGTCCACCGAGTGCTTCGAGTGTGGGAAGATCTTCCGCACCTACCACCAAATGGTGCTGCACTCCCGGGTGCACCGCAAGGAGCGGAGGACCTGTGGTGAGGGCGGGACGGCCGCCCAGCCCGACCGCTACGGCTCCAGCAGCGAGGAAGGGGACTCGGGGTCTGTCAGCGGGCCCAGCACCCCTGGCTCTGCATCCGCCCCGGAGGACTCTGCCACCTCCGGCCTGGGGGAGGAGGGGGCCGAGGAGAGTTCGGAGGAGGGAGCAGCCGAGCCCTCGCTAGGTAAGATGGCTCCTAGCCTTGCCCTGCTCGCTGTTGCTGGTCCTTGCGTTTCCCGGTGCAGGACACGGTGATGAGCAGAGGGGGAGATGGCGTGAAAGCACGTGAGAGGTTTAAAGGCAGCAGGGATGGGGTCCCGTGCCCACTGAATGCTGCTGGTTGTCTCGGCATGGAGACTTGTTTCTGGCACAGGTAATAAAAGCGAGATCAGAGGATGCCTTCAATAAGGTGCAGGTGAACTTGTATTTTGGTGAAGAACACATGAGAAGTATCTTAGTTGCCTATAGCAATGCGTAGGGTAGGGTAGTGCCTTCCCTGGACATCTCGGGGGCTGTTTTTCCCTGATTTATAGGCATCCTGTGCACTGTTCTGCCTGTAGTGCGCAGGTGTAGCAAGGGCACAGCCTGTGTGGTGTAGCCCCGAAGCACGTAAACTTGTTAATCGCCAGCGTGAGAGGTGTTTCTCTCCTCTTCTCTGCTTTGCTTCCCAAATTGTGTTTATAACTCCAAAGGCTATAATTAATCTCTGTGGATTAAAGCGGTCCTTTGAGCCCAACACTACTAAATGGAACAAATTATTCTCCAAATAGCAGCAAAGTAAATATTTAAAAGAACACCATTAAGCACTTTTGTATCTTTTTTTTTTTTTATATTTTATTTTTGTTGTTCACCATTCTTTGTTTATAATACCCTTTTAGAAATGTGAGATTAACCATTCTTTCCTTACTTGCCTTGCACTGTTTTTTTGTTTGTTTTCTGCCTGGCGAACAATAACGTTTTCCTCTCATTTTCATTCCTTTTGTTGTGAAGAACATAGTTATCTGTAGAGTTAAACTCATTTTCAAGACCATCGTGGATGAAGTAATCTGCACCATTGTGGAACAGGGTGGGTTTATTCAATTAGCTGTGTTCTTTCAGGATTTTACATAATGTTGTGCTTTCTCCACTGGCTACAGACCCAGCAGCAGCAAAGCAGCATTTTCCAGAATTGTGTATTAGTAGTTACATGTTTTTCATAAAGTTTTAAAGCAGTGTTGGATTTTTTTTTTTTGTCATGAAGCTTCTTTCATGAGAGTTCTATGGTTTTAGTACAACTAAAGTTGGGGCTGACACTGCTTGGCAATATAACTTTCAAAATGCAAGGCATAGAGGGAAGAGAGCTCCAAAGGATTGAAATTGTAAAAAATTAAACCCATCTGTTTGTCCTTAAAACTTACAAGAACGGTCCTAGACTTGATTTTGCTACAATTTGGATCAAGTCCCCGACGGACAAATTGGGTGCACACTAGAACAGAAATGTAAATTAAACCAAGGACTCCACTTTTTTTATGCTTTCTTGCCCTTTCCATAAACTACAACTCCAAGAAGTCCTAGCGACAAGCTGACTTAAATATTTTCACTATGATTACTCACCCATTTAAAAGACTCAAAATTTAACTTTCCCATCTGCTGTTGGATTTTGGACACTTCAACAAAGTTCTTATGAAGCATACATGCTTAACTTTATGGGAAAATCTATCAGCTGCCACCTGAAACACCTCCATACAATTGACACAAGATGCATTGATAAAACTGCAGTTTTGTCTGGAGTTAAATGGGGCTGCCATGTTTTACTGGTGTAATGTACGGTGCCCATATGGAAACTGCTGTGATGGAAACCCATCTCTCTGGAGACAGGCTGAAAACACCGAAACCCTTTTTCATATGATGTTCAGATGGGAAAGCTGTTCTTAGGCACTCTCCGTATTAAGCACTTTATTTTTAACAAGAGGAGCTGTCTCATCTCTTTGCCTGTCCTGCTTCTTGCCTCAGCTCAAACTCTGAGCCCTTGTTGCAGGAGTGAAAGGTGAGAGTTAAAGTCACACAGCAGTTTCTCTCACAGGAATTAAGGTGACTGGCTTAACCAGTGTCACAAGCCAACACCTGGAAACTTGTTTCTTTGGGTGCCAAATTGGTCTTTATCTTCTTTTACTGTAAAGAAGCAGCAAACTGATGGGCTTAAATAAAGGTACACCTTGGGAAAGGGATGTGTTTGCATTGATGGGCTGGGAGGATGGCTGCTGCATTTTATATTCGCTAATGTCACAGCTGAAGAGCTAACCAATTAGTTAATTGGCTAATAATAAATGTTTTAGTCTTATGACCAAGAGAAATGTTACCCTTGCTTTTTAATAGAGTTTATTTAAATAAAATCACTGTGTCAATGAAGTGGATGTTTTTTTACAAGTGACCAAGATTTTTTGGATTCAAAAGAAAGTTGGTTTTGTGTGTGGTTTGTTTTTTTTTTTTTTTTTAAAGGAGTTTTGATAGATCAGTGTTCAAGACTTTTAAGTTTCTCGGTTTTCCCTCAATTTTCTCTTTTTGGTATGCGGATTTACTGACAATGCCCTTATATTGTTTTCTAAGGGACTGGGGTCCCGCTGTCCAGCAGGCTGTAGGATTAGTTTTATTTTTCTGCCGACTGCTGCTTTAACTCAAGAGGCTTTCTTTCCCTCCCCTACAAACAGAAACTTAAGGTGTACAGAATACAGGCCAAATTCCTCCCTCATGTATGCTCCTGCTAAAATCAGATGTTGTGGTATGGCCTTGAAGCACATTTTGTCCTAAAAGTGCTGTGGTTTCCTATCTTCTGCTGCGGCTTTTTGTAGTTCTTGCCGGTAAAGCTTTTCCATCAAGAGCCGCGCTCCAGCCCTGTGGACAGCATGCCTTGGTTCCTGTTCCTGACATGCCTTCTACGGTATTACTTTTACTCAGGCTGTGGTCAGGAAAATCTTGTGCTACTCATAAGGTTATATTAAACCTGGGTTTCTTTGGTTTGGTGTTTTTTTTTTTCTTTAACATTCATATCTTTACTTTCCTTACCCCTTTTGACACATTACTGTGTTATCCTGGGTCAGAAAAGGGTCTTGAGGCTGCCAAGTACTGAATGTTGTGGCCTTGACTTGGCTGAAAGTACTTCTTTGTGCGTTTCATTCTTAATAATCTGAGTAGTCTTGCTGACACACAGTGTCTTGCAGCAGGGAAGCTGGCAGTACAGCTCGGTGGTCACTTTGGGGCCAACAGATGTTGGGGCTGAGGGTGACTGGGGCTGGGAAGTACTGATAGGGCTTACTGGGAGAAGAGCAAGAATTGCACCTTGCATGTGAAATGGGGTTGAGAGCCTCCATGGTAGGCACTTCCTTGCTCTTAACACATCGGTAATTTGTCCCTGCTGTGTACATAGAGTAACATAATGGTTTCTCAGGCACAGAGGTAGTGTTTGCAAACCCAGTTTATCAGCTGCCACAGGGGGTAAGCTAGCTGGTTACAAAATGCTTTCCATCTTGTTGGAAGGAGAGTAAAAATTAGTTTTCTGCAGTCACATAGGCGATGTACTGCATGATACCTGTCATAAAAAGATAAATACATGTTGTATATACGCTTCATGTGACAGCCATGTGGGAAAAGGTGACTTAGAGCACATTTGCTCTGTTAAGAGCAGCCTTTAAATATTTTCAAAGGTCTTCCTCCTCCAGGTGAGTCTTTGTTTTTATTTGGCATTCAAGCCACTAGCAAACTGTACCTGAATTTCCACTGAGTTGCATCCAGAGCTGTTTGAATCACCTGTGAGTTGTTGCTCAGCTCTTCCCCAACTTGAGTTTTGGGGTTTTGGGTGGGTTTTTTTTGCTTATTTTTTGTAATTTTCATTTTCAACTAAGAAAAACCCCAGAGCTATGACTGAGAGAGTAGAGGGGGATTATGCATGTGTCAATAAAAGTGGAAGGGAAAATACTCTATTTTTTTAGATCTTTCAGCTTCTCAACTAAAACGTAGTTTTAGATATGCCAAAGAAATAATTCAGCCTGTGTGCATTTGGTGGTTAGTATTTTTAAGGCTCAATGTGGGCCCCTTCATTGTCATGGTATATTTAGCAGTGAGGATGTTACAGTTTGTTACATTAGGCACTGTGAACTATTTCAGTCCTGAAATGAAGGAGGAAGTATAATTTTTGAGTCTGTGACTGCTGCTGGCAGGTGAGAAGATAAAGAAAAGAAGTGAAAACAATTTAAATACCACTTGGTGCTCAGCAAACATGTAGTAAGAGCACAGGCCTGTGATACTCTGGTCAGTGAGGGAGTGCCATAAAGGTGTTTTGTTTTGCATGTAAGCCCCAGACTGGGCAGGAAGTAAATGTTGAAAGTAATCTAGGGAGGGTAAAAGAAAAGAAAAAGGAGTGTTATATAGGAATAAAGGAGAGGAATGCTGCTTCCAGCCTGACCTTGTCAGGGAAGGATGGCAGTGACGGGAGAGGGTGTTGCACCTCAGAGGGAATGCTGCTTCTGGTGAAAGCCATCTCCTCCATTTTGTTTCCTTTCTCTCCTGCCTCTTCTCTCCTTTTTCTTTTTTTCCTTCTGTCAGCCTCCTCTGGATTTTTGAAATGCTTTAAGGAGAGACTGATTCACTCTTACTCGATGCATGCTGTTTTTATTACGCTGGCTAGTGCAGGAAGGGGGCTGGTTGCAAGTGAGAACTGTTGCGCTAGGCCCTGTAGGAAGACAGCTTTAGGCCCAAGGAGCTCTTAGTCTGACTAGACGAGGTGGACACAAGTTGCTAGACTGCACAGAATATAAAAAAAAAACCCAAACAATGAATATAAAACAACGGTGGCGTGGCTGCATTTGATTTGTGTCGGGAATTACTGGTGGTATGGTGGAACTTGCTCAGGAGACGATGAGCTTGGTGGAGGGGTGAGACAAGAGATGGGAGTAGGGTGCGGGGAGGAGAGAAAGGGGCGTGGGGGAGGGCAGAGAGGCAGGACCTTGGTGAAGGGAGCTGTGCTGTGCGATGAGGTTTCGAAGAGGAGGGGAAGCTGAAAAGAGGTGTGGGATGGCATTGGGGTTCAAACCCTCCAAGGCAGTGCCAGGGTGCTTGGGTGTCTTGCACTGAAGCCGGCAGGGCTTGTGACGCCCTGCACTCAGAGGTGGGTGACTCCAAGGAGATTTCCGTGTGAAAACCAGGAGGTCT